CAGAGTCAGTATTGCTTTTGGAGATGCTTATGGATTTGAGGTCTATGCGCCCAGGATAGATAATCCATCCTCAAGGATATTCGAGACATGTTCTACGGATACTTTCCAGATCCGTGGCCCCTGTATTTATGAGATCTGCTACCTTTACTTGAAGAGAGTTGGATCCGACGGCTGGAAACCGGAGACCGTCAAGGTGTACGGTTCAGATCGTCCTGCTATTACCTTTAAATATAATAAGCTTCTTCCTAATGGAGTCTGGTATGGATTTAATCACTGCCGTAAGATCATGTAGCTGATCTGCCGTAGAATTCCACTATCCATGAAATTTGTATTTAAAATCTCTGTTTTGTTTGCTTCCAGAGATTAATTTATCGCCAAATAAAGGTATTTTTTTATTTCTTGCTGTTACAATTTTAGCCTTTAGCTTTTCTTTGCAGATGAACTTCATCAGATGTGTTGTATCCATAAATGGGGATTTTGATTCTCCCTATTATAATTTCCTTCCCCGCATCTATGTAATAAAAAAGAAAATATGTGTGTTTATGTTTATGTTTTTTTTTTTGTAGCAAGTAGGAATAGCCAAATTTGATAACAATTTCCAGCTGAACCTAATTTTAAGTTAGATCCGCATTTTCCTTTTTTCATAGTAATCATTGTCATCTTGGTCGTCGTTCGGTTGAGTTTGATTTTCAACACGACACATGACCTTCAAAGTATAGTAAGAATAAAAATGAGTTGTTTTTCTAACTAAAAAAATAGGCTCCGCATATAAAGCCTTCCATCCTAATTCTTTTACTTGATATTTCATTTATATTTGTCAATAGTCCTGTTGAATTCAAAGAAATAAATTAAAAATTAATAGAGAGGAAGAGATAAAGGTTTAAAATCTGAGAGATACACCCGGGCCTCCTAATCGGACTTTTATGACCTAAATGAATTGGAAGATGTTCTATCACATAGTAAAAAAATTCCAGGTGGAAGAATTATGAGTCTCCAAATTGTTAGTGATTATACAATGTATAATTAATCAATTAAAAAAAAAAAGAAAAAGAAAATGTAGCTGTCTATATATTTGGACCCTTGATTAATTAACTACGTGTGTGGGGAATTCACTGACACATGTCTAGTGATTGGTGTTAAAAGAGTAATCATATATTGGGTGTGCATTGGTGGTTCAATTTTATTTGTTAAACGTTTGATTTATTAATTTTATGTTTATAAATATGCTAAACTAATAAGTAATTAAATCAATATGATATTTTTTTTATCAGTTTACGATTTATCGATTTTAGTTCTTGACCTTCAATTTTTGATTTAACTAGTAAGAAAATGCTTATAAAATAAATATGACTTCTTAATTTGACGTGACAAGAAAATAATGTAATTTTATCGAACGCTCATAAAATAGAAACAATAATAACTAACATGAAAAGAGTTATACAAGTGCAATACAAAGAGAAATTAAAAGGAATAGAGTTTTTACTTTAGATTTTAACGCTTGATATAATATGAAGTTGTGAACTCAAAGTATTTGTGAAGTGTGAATGGAAACTTAGAGGGAAAAGTAGTAGCCAGTAAGGTACTGAAATTAATATTTAATATTTATGTATAAATTAATATAGTCTTAATGAATTATCGATTTACCCAATAATCTAATACTAAAAATCAAAATCAAATCGATAATCCAATAATTTTTTTAAAGAAAATCATTAAAGCCTCATTAACCCAATAATAATAAATCAATAACATTTTTTCATTGAATTTATCGATCAATTTGATTTATGCACAACCTTAATTAATTAGGTAACATCCCTTGATTGACATAAATTTATAAAGAATAAGTTTATAATTTTATTCCTATTAATTGACAGAGTACCAAACAGATTTATTCACATTTTTTCAAAGACATTAACTCAATGTTAATAAATTAAAGGTATAATAGCAAAAAAAAATTGTTCTTTCTTGATTTATAAAAAATGACAAATAAAATGAGAAGTTAGATTAAAAAATATCTGACAAGTAAATAAGAGCGGAGGGAGTACTAAATTACATGGTTAAGCAAATATATAGTAGTTACTAGTCATCATAGCTATAATTTTAGTTAGTTAACATTCACAATCAACATTCAACGATAATTACGTGGGTTGGAGTTTCGAATTTGTATGATTCATACGTGTGTATAATTTGAAACTTGTATAACTTTTGTATAATATAATTTTGTATAGCTGTTTAAAGTTTCGATGTTTGTATTTCTATAAATTTGTTATTTTGAGTTTATACAAAAACAACTCAATTATTCAAATATACCCGCGAATTATACAAACTCACCCACGAATTATACAAACAAGACAAGTAAAACTATGACTACATCACGTAAATATACAAACTATAGCTATAGAACATAATTAAATTTACTATAATTGCTATTTACGAAATTTCCAAATTACGTATAGAGTTCAAATCCAATGGAGTAGTAGTTTATAGAATGTAGGACCAAATTCATGTAACTGATCTGCCGTAGAATTCCACTATCGATGAAATTTGTATTTTAATTGATGTATTTAAAAGATTTAATCTCTGTTTTGTTTGCTTCCAGAGATTAATATATCGCCAAATAAAGGTATTTTTGATTTCTCAGGTACCTTGCTGTTACAATTTTAGCCTTTAGCTTTTCTTTGCAGATGAACTTCATCAGATGTGTTGTATCCATAAATGGGGTTTTGATTCTCCCAATTATAATTTCCTTCACCGCATCGACAACGTATTGTTTTTTTATGTAGTAAGTAGGAATAACCAAATTTGATAACAATTTCCAGCTGACCCTGATTTTATGTTTAGATCCGCATTTTCCTTTTTTCATAGTAATGATTCTCATCTTGGTCGTCGTTCGGTTGAGTTTGTTTTTCGACACGACACATGACCTTCAAAGTAGTAACTAGTAAGAATAAAAATGAGTTGTTTCTAACTAAAATAGGCCCCAAGGCCTAGCTCGAGTGACAAAAAGGTGAAGGATTTGTGGCTTAAGTTGCAGGTTCAAGCCCCACATCATACAAAGCGAAGCTCGATATTTAAGTGGAGAAGAGTAGAGTAACCGGATCCATTATCCATCGAGTTCAGAAGGCTGTGATTGATCCAATAGTCCTGGTGTTACTCACGAATTCAAAGAAATAAATTACTCATAGAGAAGAAGAGCTAAACGTTTAGAATCTGAGAAATACACCCGCCTATATTGATTTGGGCCTCCGAATCGGACTTGGCAGATGTTCTATCACATTAAAAAAAATTCCAGGTCGGAGAACTAATGAGACTCCAAATTGTTAGTGATTATTTAATGTATAATTAATCAATTTAAAAAGAAAAAGAAAAAGAAAAAGAAAATGGAGCTGTCTATATATTTGGACCTTTGATTAATTAACTACGTGTGTGGGGAATTAACTGACACATATCTAGTGATTGGTGTTGAAAGAGTAATCATATGTTGGGTGTGTATCAATTGGTTTGATTTTATGTGTTATCAGTTTGGTTTATAATTTTTTTGTTTATAAATATGCTAAATCAATAACTAAGTCAATAAGATATTTTTTATCTGTTTATAATTTATTGATTTTGGTCCTTAATGATTTGCTTTTTTATTTAATCGATAAGAAAATATTTATAAAATAAATATGACTTCTTCAATGATTTGACGTGACAAGAAAATAATGTAACTTTACTGAACGCTCATAAAATAGAACAATAATAACTAGCATGAAAAGAGTTATACAAGTGCAACACAAAGAAATTAAGAGAAATAGAGTTCTTACTTTAGATTTTAACGCTTTGTATAATATGAAGCTATGAACTCAAACTAATTGTGAAGTGTGAATGGATACTTAGAGGAAAAAGTAGTAACCAGTAAGGTACTGAAATTAATATTTTTGTAAGATTAAAATAGTAAATTACTATAGTCTTAATGAGTTATCGATTTACCCAATAACATAATACTAGAAATCAAAATTGAATCGATAACCCAATAATTTTTTGAATAAATCATTAAAAACCCATTAATCCAATAATAATAAACCAATAACATTTTTTATTGAGTTTATCGATCAATTTGATTTATGCACAACCCTAATTAATCACTAACATCCCTTGATTGGCATAAACTTTTAAAAACAAAGAATTTTATTTGAATTCATGTATGACTATAAATTATTTTATTAAGTTAAAAAGAGAAATTTTAAAATTCAAATTATTTCAATATTAAAATATAATATTTGGTGGGCTAGAGTTTCATACTACATTCTTCGTCACATATTACTTTTAAAATTTTGATTTGACAAACTTATTAAGAAAATAATAATTAATATAATAAGTTTATAATTTTATTTTTATTAATTGACAGAGTACCAAACATATTTATTCATTATATTTTTTCAAATACATTAGCTCAATGTGAATAAATTGAGGGTAAATAGAATAATTTTTATTCTTTCTTGATTTATCAAAATGACAAAAAAAATGAGAAATTAAATTAATTTTTTTTTTGACAAGTAAATAAGAGCGGAGGGAGTACTAAATTACATGATTAAGCAAATATATACTAGTTACTAGTCATCATAGCTATAATTTTTGTTAATTACCATTCACAATCAACATTAAACGTGGGTTGGAGTTTCAAATTTGTATAATTCACACGTTTGTATAATATATTTTGTTAACTTTTGTATAACTGTTTAAAGTTTAGATGTTTATATTTTTATAAATTTATTATTTTCAGTAAATACAAAAATAACTCAATTATTCAAACATTCTCGCGAATTATACAAACTCACCCACAAATTATACAAACAAAATAACTTAAACTATAGCTATATATGCAAATTATAGCTATGAAACATAATTATATTTACGAAATTTTCAAATTACGTATAGAGTTCAAATCCAATATAGTAGTTTATAGAATGTAGGACCAATTTTTTTTTTTTTAAAGTTTATTTACTATTTTTAGTAGCCACGTTGCATAGAAATTTCTTTCGTTAATACGATACGCAATATGCGTAAAAAACAAAATGAAGAAAAGAAAAAATGAGGTGGTGAGTACTGAGTGGTGGGTGAGGCTATTAAAGTTCATCAACAACATATCCAGCAATAATCAAACGATTATCAAAATTAGATGGTGATAATAAAAATGAGTGTTCACCTCTTTGCGCTCTTGGTCCTCAGCTTGGTTGCTTTCTTCTTCTGTCTCTCTGAAGCAACATCAATTACTTCAACTTCAACAAAACCCCTAATTTTCATCGAAACCAATCAGAGCACCGCTACTGCTAGAAGCTGCTCATACACATTGACGATCAAAACAAGCTGTTCTTCACCTAAATACACCAGAGACAGAGTCAGTATTGCTTTTGGAGATTCTTACGGTTTTGAGGTCCACGCGCCGAAGCTAGATGATCCATCGTCGAAGATATTTGAAAGCTGTTCTACTGATACTTTCCAGATCCGTGGCCTCTGTATTTATGAGATCTGCTACCTAAACTTGAAGAGGGTTGGATCGGACGGCTGGAAACCGGAGAGCGTCAAAGTGTACGGTCCAGATCGTCCTGCTATTACCTTTAAGTATGATAAGTTTCTTCCTAATGGAGTCTGGTTTGGATTTAATCACTGTAAGAAACGCTCTCTCTAGGAATCCGTTATGTATGAAATTTGCGTTTTGCAGATTTAATCCATGTATTTAAATGTGTTGTTTGGAGAATAAAATGTCATTATATGCAATGAACATTTGGTACGATAGCGTTAATGGAAGACAATGGTGAATGAAGAGGATAAAGTGTCGGATAATATTTTAAAAACAACTTTGGCATAATGCATTGAGTTATGAATTAGTTCAATATAATTAAATGTGAATCAATAAATTTATGTCATATATTCAATTACAAAATTAATTATTTTGCATCAGCTTCTTCAAAAGAAGAGATAATTTTAAGAAATCATAAACAAAATGATTAATTTGACTAATTTACTCTTTATAGGGATATTAAAATAATTTATGATATGATAAGACATATAAAAGTTATACGTACTTCAAAGTAGGTGATCAAGGTTACAAAAGAGTAATTAAGTATTTAGTTAACTCTTTGGAAAGATAAATTCTAGAAACTTTAATTTTGTTTAAGTTTTCAAAGAGGAATTATGGGAACATTAAACATGATTTAGTACTCCTTCTATCCCTAATTACTTGTCCACTTTTGAATTGACACACCTATTGAGAAAATAATTAATGACATAGTGAGTTTACCATTTTACCCCTATTAATTATGAAGTGGATGAAAAGTTCTACATTTTTCAAAATAATTAGTGTCATTTAATTGAGGATATAATAGGTAAAAAGAATTATAAAAGGAAAAGTAGACAAGTAATTAGGGACATATGGAGTATTAATTATAGGGGCAAAATGAGAAAAATTTAATTAATTTTATCCTGATTTAGTAAGTGATCAAGTTATTTGGGACAAGTATTTTTTACAAAGGTGATCAATTAATATGGGACAAAAGAAATATTTATTAATTTAAAAAGTATTTTTGAGATCCGATGAAGATTAATTTTAATTACATCATTTAGGAATGAAGCCTTAAAGAATTTAATTGAACATTCTTGTAAAGATGACCTTTTATGAATTTGAGGTCATGATTAATAATTTCTATTACCGCAATAAAATGAATGCCAATAACTTGTTAGGTTATGATACATGTTCAGACTTCTAGAGACTAGAGCTTAGAATAAATTGGATACCATCAAAAAAACATGTTGATGATGAAGTTGAAGACGATACAATATGACGAGAGGGAGTTGCTCGGATGGTAAGCACCCCTCATTTCCAACCAGAAGGTTGCGAGTTCGAGTCACCAAAGGAGCAAAAGGGGTGGGAGCTCCTAGGGAGGGTAAAAAAAAAAGACGATACAATACCTTTGGAACCAATTATGAATAAGGAAATACTTATCGTGCCTGAAAAGTGAGGCAAAGATGCCAGATCTGGACATTGCTAAACCGAAAGAGATTGCTTAGGATTAGTGTTTGTGTAACAAAGCCGAGGAGGGTGTAGTCAAGGAGAGCTTAAGGAATGATAGAAAAAAAGAGAGGGAAAATATTGAAAAATATTATCTTAGAGAGTTTATTAATTCACCGAATGTCAATTTAAAGAGGTTCTACGTTAAAAATATGTTTGACCCTTTTACATTTTCAAAAATTAAGAAAGCATAATTTCTTCCTTTTCCAAATTACCTTGCTACAATAAATTGTATGGGGTATCCTCTAGAAAGAACATTGATACAACTCCAGAATATTTTCAGAATCTGATAATTGACATTTGAATGGAATGAATTAATACAAAGTTTTCCTTATCATCCTTTAACTTTTAGTATGTGGATTGTGGGGTTAAATCATGTCAAGTGTGGGACTCAAATCTACTAAAGTAACACCAATAATATCAACCTTTTGATCCCATCAGTAGATTTTCCACTGCAATAAGATCAGGCAAAAGTTTGAGTATACATCACTGCAATAAGTGCTCAATATGCAACACAAATAGGAAAGGACTGTATGTCCACTATACATTTTTCTTCTGAGTTCTTTAGTGATATATGCATCTGAACAGAAACTTACTAATAGGTATTGCTACAAGCAGTTTGGACCTTCAACTATAAACAGCTTGTCATTATCTCTTATCACTTCAATTGAGTCAATTTCTGATCCTTCTTGATCCGTAACCGATGCATTTGTTGCATCAAATCCAAATTTCTGACCTGTACAACACGTAAATACATTAACACAACTACGTCTCAGTTCCAAACATTAATAATGTTACCAATTCTTTTCATGTTTTAGCAGACATATGATGTTGTTGGATTTGAAAGATTATGAACTATGTAGAAGTAAATTTACCTGCAATGATCTTGAGCACTGCAAGTGAATTTGGAAGCTTAACTAATTTGCCAGGTTCACTGCAATGAGTTCTTCTCCTGATAACAGGATGGCCTCTGTATATGCTAACTCTAAAAGAAGACTGATCCCTAGTACTTTCTGTGTTGTGCTGCTTCTCTTGTTCGCGCCATTTTTGAGCAACTTCATCCATTGTGTCGGAGACCATAACTCTGTGTCCTACTTCGCGCTTTTGTAGCATGTCACTTAGGTTCATCGAAGAAAGCTTGTACTTTAACTTATCGTTTATCTCAGCTCCATTCATTAGAAGTAGCTTTACCATGTCTTCAAGATTTTCTTCCAATGCAACATGAATAGCAGTTGATCCATCGCGGTCCTTTGAGTCAACTTGTAATCCATGTTTTAGGAGTTCTTTCATCACTGTTAAGTCATTTTTTCTAGCTGCTGTGCATAAGAGGTCACCAGCTATGTAGGGATCTGAGACAGAAGCCCAATGGTACAACACATGAAATGTTGAATGGTGTTTTGCTGCTATAGCTTCCCACAACGCGGTGTGACCATTTACATCTGCTTTTTATGGTACAAATCGACACATTGATTAGCCAATTATCCCTGTCAAACATTCTAGCTTGCTGAAGTTTACAATAATATATATCGAGGATGACTACCTCGGAGGTTTATGTTACATCCATGTCTAAGAAGCACCATGACACACTCTTCGTGCCCTTTCGATGCTGCAATGTGCTGATGCATCAGAAAGAGAAACATAATCATGTCATAAACTGTTTGAAAGAGAAAACAATGTTATTGGCATCACAAACATGTAAATAAAAACAAAGTCTTTCTTTTTCGAGTATAAATGTAGGCCACGAGGGGACGTACCAGTGGGGTTCTTCCTTGGGCGTCTCCGATATCAGGATCTAATTTAGCCTTGAGAAGTTCTTCAAGGAAAGTAGCATTACCTGTACTAGCAACAGTTAGCAAGTTAACATACATGTTCGGATCACCATAATCTCCCCCCACTCCATGAAGTAAATCTCCAAGCCTTAAGCCTTTGAGCTTCTTGTGATGCTGCAATTACCATAACATTGGCAGAATATCAAGATTCAGCTCTAAATTGTCCAGAGGGAAGGGAATATCACAGGGTATTTTGCACTAACCTGAAGGAAGTTCTTGATCATAATGATATTATCTTCTTGTCTGGTTTTCATTGCTTCAATCAAATTACTAGTTCTTATCTTCAAGAGCTGTGAAAGTGTTTTGGTTCGATACGTGTAGCTCTGAGGCCTACAACAAAATGCTCCTACTTCTCCTATCATATCTCCAGATTTGAAAGTCCAAACAGTTGGCTCATTCTCCATTTCAGATTCAATCATTTCCACCTCCCCTGACACTATTATGTACAACTCATCTGGCGATTCGTTCTGCATTATTACATCCTCTCTTGGAGGTATGTACTCAGCTTTCATATCTGCAACCTGCAGAATTATCAATTAGACACACAATTATACATGTATATAAAACCTTATTCAAACAATAGTGATATCTTACCAAAAGTAACAGAATTTCCCTTGTGACACCTTTGAAAAGATAAACTTTCTCCACTGTTGGTAAAAACAAATGGTGCCTGATGCTTTTGCAGATTGTCTTGGGAAGTTGTTCAATCAATTCCTGCTGGTTTAGACTCTCAGCCCTGAATCTTAAACACATATAAGCCAATATTTGGTCCTTTAATCTTGGAGGCAAGTGATTTCGACAAACGAAATTCGATGCTGCTTCAATGCTATTTCTCTGCAACAAAACACTTATTTAATGATCAAACATTTGTACACACTTGCAATGCAAAGAAAAGTAACAAAGCTTACGAATTCCATGGTGCGACGAGTTCCTTCAACAACTAAATTGGTCATATTACCAATTATATAAGCAGTGAGGCCAAGATTGAAGAGCATGTAGAAAATGATGAAGACCATTTCCAAAGTGTTGACAGCATGAAGGTCACCATAACCAACAGTAGTCATGGTGGTAATGGACCAATACAAAGCTGCAATGTACCTAATCACAAGACTTGTCTCCTTGTAATTTGGATTCATAGTTCCTAACCATGTATCTCCTTGGTGTGGATATCTATCAGCTAGCAAATAGTATAGGCATCCAGCACAGTGCACTGTTAATAGTGTTACCTGTTACATACAATTAAAATTAGTCTTTCTTTACGAGTACAAATTTTTACATTATCAGGTCATCTAAAAGGACAAATGAAAGGTAACCATCAGTAAAAATGAGGTTACTAACCTCATTTTTTTGAAGTTACCTGTTACAACAAGTTAGTTTTTCAATTACTTACAAATAGAAGTCTGGCACATCTGACCCAAAAGTAGCTGAATCTCATATCCTTTTCAAGTCTGACAATAAATAAAAAAGGAGTATAATTAATTTAATATTGATATGTCATTTGCCATCTAAATAAGAAAGAATTAGTAGTAAAAATGAGGAGTGTACCTGGTAAAAAATTGTTTGACCCGGCGAAGACGCCAAAATCTGAGCATTCCTAAAACAGAGTAAGAAACACCAACTTGGTGTTTGCCAGTGAGCAACAATGCTAAAAGATCGAATGGTATGGTTGATGCCACATCCATTATAAACCATGTTGATAAATATCTGTATTATCATCATCAAAAATAATTCAATGTCTATTATATTATATTAAAAAATAATAATTTTATATATACAATATAATTTCGATCCGGATATTAGCTATCCACTCACTTATAGAAAGACGAGACATAAGAAAGAAACTTATGTAATGACATG